GCTTTCTAAGATCCCTCACCAGAAATGTTAATTTTTCCAATTTTTCAGTTCATGAATCGTGCCTTCACAGAATGCGCTCCATCGACGCTCTTGGCGAAGCCTTCTGTATTTGCCATATACTAGCAATCTGATCGCATCTCCCTTTCTCCCTCCTCGACTGGACTCGACTGACTGTGAACGATAGATCGCATCTGGGTTCCTATCGCATCAAGACTGGTTTTCAATTTCGCCACTCATTTGCCTTATTCAAGGCCACATATATGCCAGTCCTGCCTGACCCTCCCTATTATCCCTTCATGGATTTCGTTTCACAATGCCATATACAGCGACGATTTTCACAGTTCTTGATGTCATCTCCCACATTTCGACCTCATGCGGTGTCTCGACGCTCACAGAGGAACCCTCAGTATTCGCCGTATACTAGTAATTTTGTCTTACCTCCCTTCGCCATTTATCAGCCGGGCTCGATGTGTAATGTGGTTGATTGCGTCTGAGTTCCTCTTGTCTGGCCTCTTTGACGCGAATAGGCTCATGTGGCGTATCTATCCTGCCCTGACGATGTCGGTTCTAAATCGCGTATACAATACCACATGCACGCCAGTCCTGTCCGACCCACATACGGACCCCTGAAGGCTGACATTTTTTTCTGACAGACGATGTGCTAGTTTAATTAAGGCTGACATTTATATCTGCCCTGACGATGCTCCGATTATAATCCGTTATATACCGCCACATGCAGGCCAGTCCTGCCCGCATTTTTCTGTTATTATTTTTAGCGAGGATTTTTTTCCTGCAAAATTAATCCAATAATTTTTAAATTTTCACACCTCACTAATCATTTTTCTTGACGGACTACTAATCCAAAAACTGCGAATTACACTTTGTGCAGATTTTGCCTACCTCGTCTTAAATTCGCATATAAATTTGTTTTTACTTGCTTTGATGGGACCCCAACGGATCTTTAATAAAAATTATTATTATTCAATAAATGACAGTTAAGTAGCCTAAAATTCCCATGGGTTCGGAGACTAGAAGCTGGTTTCTGTCTTCTCTATCGCATTAATAATACTTCAAATCTTCCTGGGCTTTCAGCCCTTACCCCCGTAAGTCGCCAATACCATCTTCGCAATTCTTCCTTGATTATAGTTCCTCTCGCTTCCTCCACCTCTCGAAGCCCTTTTTTTCATCTTCCAGATTTAATTGCCTTTAGAATAACTTCCAAATTTATATAAGGTCATCAGATGGTATATATAGTTTTATGAGAATACTGCGTCTTTTTCCGAATACTGACTCCATTAAACTGTCACTTTTCTCATGCTCTTCGAACAGCTTTCTCCAGACATTCAGAAAGGTCCATCGCGAATTTAGGGTGTCGCCGCCAAATTAATGTATCCGCTCACATTTTTCTTTTTCATGTGATTCGCTTTCTAGGATCTCCTATCAAGAATTTCAATTTTTCTGATTTTCATTCCATGCATCGTGTCCTTTGCAGAACGCGATGATCTCCCTTATTAACCCCTTAAAGGAATAGTTTGGGCCAAAATGACGCTCACGACCTAGGCCACTTCCGTTTCGCTTATCGCCGGCCACTATCAGGAATCCGATTTTATTTCTAGAGTTTCGAGCTCTCACCCCAATATAAGCCCCAACTGAGTCTTCCGCTACGTAACATCCCCATGCTCTCATCCGACCCCCATGAGAAATGCATCATGCTCTTCTATATACATTTGTGAACGATGATTTTCGCTGATTTAAACTTCATCTCTCCATCCCAGCCACCAAAGATCTGCTGATGATCACGGCGGATTCCTCTGTTTTCGCCCCCTTCTAGCAGTCTTGTCGGTCAGCAGAAAAGTATCATGGTCGCCTCTCCCCGCGCTTTGAATATCCTCGCAGCCTTTTACGTCTTCTCCTCGGCTGAACGCTAAGCGGGCTGTGCCTGATCACGTTGGGTCTTGCCTGCCTCCTCCCTTTGACGGTTCCGTCTGTTGTCAAGCCGAAAATAGCAGGATCGCATCTGCAACGAAGAGTATCACCGGGTTTAGGAACTTAATCTTGATGCGGATCATTTTGAGTCCAGTGTATTTTTTTATCTGAGGGACGGTCAGTTTTTCCGCTTTAAAAACTGATTACATTATACTCATTTTGCCTTCTTCGAAAAATGAAGGAGTTTTCTTTTTACTGTTCGCCAGCGGTTTTCGGTATCACATTGCCTATTTCATAAGCACGGGCTGAGCACTACACAATATCCGCCTACTTGTTCTAAAATGCCTTCCCATTTTTTCTTGCTGTAAATGTAGCCTTATGGGTCCTTAATAAAGCAATTTATTGATTATATGTTTGTATTCATATTGAGCTCGCTGACTCAAAATTATCTACGATAACATTGGCTCACCGCAAAACATCAGTGTTGACAGTCCTCAAACTGCACGAAGCAACGACTGTTGATACTATTACGCACAACACGTGTCGTATTCGATGGCCTGCAGGTGCGAGATACTCAGTATCAGTATCAGTATATTTCAGGGAAAGTAGGTGTGTACCTTTGAAATCCTTATTAGTTACATGCAGAGGATATATATGGAGGAAATGGAAAGGAAGTAACACGAAAGAAATGCGAGGGGAATAGCAAAAACTGTACAGATGAACAGAGAATGTCATGCGTTAACAGAAGTTAGAGGCACATTAACTTGCTTTGTTGATCAAATACAGCGGACAGTTGAGGCACACTTAAGATACGGGAGAAGAAGTAAAATTGTTTAGTCTACGGGCATCGTGGTGAATATGAGCAGCTGTGTGCGACGTGGCCAAAATTAATAAATTACATAAACATATGTTGGTAGTAGCATCGCAAGAACACTAAATTGTCTTCGTTGGCTGTCAACTTGGCCGTAGTCCGGCGTTATTGTGGTGCGCGCTCCAATGCTGATCTAGCCTCCGTTTAAAAGTATTTACGGAGCCCGACATAACTACATCCTCAGGCAAGGCATTTCAAGCTGCAACCACTCTGTTAGAGAAGAAGAACTTTCGGGTGTTTAGCCGGGCACCAGCCACACGCAGTTTGAGTGCATGACCTCTCAGGTTAGTCGTAGTCGCCAACTCGAAGAAGTCTCCAAACGCGAGGCAGCAGCCCTGATTGCGCACGATGCAGAAAGCTTGTATCAGGTCCCCACGTAGCTATCTGTAACTCAAAGGAAAGAGGTCAAGATTAACTAATCGTGTTTCGTTGGGTAGTGACCACTGTCCAGATACAAGTTTCGTTGCTCGCCGTTGAACTTTTTCGAGTATGCCCAAGTCTTTAGCGGTCCAGGGTCTCCATGCTTGGATAGCAAACTCCAGGTGCGGTCGCACGAAAGTTTGAAAGACCTTGGCGAAGCAGTCTTCATCAAAGGAGGAGAAAGCCCTTTTGACGAGGCATAGAATGGACATCGCCGACTTGGCTACCTTTGAGCATTGCAGCGAAGGCTTAAGCGAGGTTGTGATCCATACACCCAAGTCCTTCTGGGAGTTGACTTCTTGCAGTGGTTTGCCAGTCAGACGGTAGACCGTGTGGTTAGGAGAACTGGTTCTGTCTACGCGTAGGAAATTACACTTATTTACATCGAACGGTAGAAGCCAGTCTTTCGACCACTGCTCGAGGTGGTCCTGATTTGTCTGCAGTCGCGCCTCGTCAACTTCGCTTCGTATGGTACTGTATATCTTTATGTCATCGGCAAACATTGCGACATCGCAATTCAGTTCGCTTGCGCAATCATTGACGTATACGAGGAATAGTGTAGGACCAAGAACAGAGCCTTGGGGAACACCACTCTTAACGGCAACCTCGGCAGATTGTTGTTCACTAACGTGGACGGCTTGAGAGCGGCCGATTAAAAAGCTCCGAATCCACATCAGAAGCTTACCTCGCACTCCTGCACGGCTAAGTTTGTATAGAAGGCTTTGGTGAGGCACACTATCGAAGGCCTTTTTAAAGTCAATATAAATGACATGCACCATATCTCCTCTATCAACAGCCCTAGCCCTGTGTTCCAGACAGAAGAGTAGGTTTGTCATACAGGATCTGCTTTTGTGGAATCCATGCTGAGAATCGGAAAGCAAATGGTTTTGTTCAAGGAACTGCATTAACTGTTGCTTTATTATCTTCTCCATAATCTTACAGCAAATGGAGGTGAGGCTGGCAGGTCTGTAATTGTTCGCAGAGTTCCGACTTCCGCCCTTGTACAGCGGCGTAATCCACGCCGACTTCCAGTCGGGTGGAAGATATCCGGTCTCGAAGGATGTACGGAAAAGCATGGAGAGTGGCTTAGACAACTCACCGGCGGAAACCAGAAAAACGGAATCTAAACTCAGCATTATTTAGTCTACATAAGGGAAATAGGCAGTTTTGAAAATCCCATTTACAAATATGCGCTGAAAAACGTTCATGCGTTTGCATAGCCATATGGGTACACTATTCGAGCAACTTTATGACCATCAAGTAAAACGTTATCAGTTTTTATTTAGAATGTTGGATGAAGCCACTGAGTTTTGATTGACAGGATATTGTTAAAACTGGTTTAATTAATTTCGTAGGAGATCAGAAAATGGGACGATCCTCATAGTCTTGTTTTAACCTCTTCCGTTTTGTAGATTGCTTGTGTGGGCGGCCTTGACCAATGTGATAGCGGGTTGTAGCGTGACTTGGTGCTATTTCGCTGATTGCAGTGTTACACCCTAATAGCAGTGAGTTTGGCTCATAATTAGTCCCATTAAGGTATTCTCAGTTCTCGAATCACGCCACTGATCCCGAAAATGAACCCACTAATGTACAGACAGCCTCGGTTCCCCATTATCCCTTATCCTATTCCAGGCGTTCTTCCACACCGGCGTAAGGCGCACTGCGTTACTAATTTTTTCACAAAGGCGAAGTCAACGATGAGGAAGATCTTGCCACGGTGGCCTTGCAGATTCAGAAGAAACGGTTTTATGTGGATGTGAAAAAGAATTGGAGGGGCCGGTTCATGAAGATTGCAGAGGTAGTAGGCGTTTTCCTTACCTGAGAATCACAGGTGGGGATGGACGGAAGGAAGGCACGCATTTTGTTAACAATGAGTGCGGCAGATGACCTCAAAGACAAGTTGAAGGACCTCACGGAAGTGTACGAGGAAATTGCAAAGAAGGAGGCAGAAAATCAAGAGTACTCCGCCGACCATGATGACAAGTCTGGTGACAACAACGAAGATGGGCTTATAAAATCCCACATTGTGAACTATCCCCATCGGCGTTATTATTTGGACTTAAAAAAGAACCGTCGGGGTTATTTTCTCCGTCTTACTATGATTTCAACCACATCGCGGATAAAGTTGGCGGTTCCAGCACAGGGAATGCGGGATTTGTATAATTCAATTTGCGACCTTCTGAAAACCTGGTGGAATCAAGCTCCATCCTCCGCGGAACAAAAAGGTAGTGTATAGCCTTATTGACTGTGCAGCTCTAAATCTGCCCGGACCGAAGGCCTTTAGGATTGACAACAGGACACTCTACTTTGATTCGGTCTCGAACCGTTATGGTGTTTTTTTACGCATCTCCCAAGTCTGGGCATCCAGCCGAACGGCGATAACTATACCCGAACGCTCACTTAACCGGTTTCGGGATATAATCAATGAACTGGCCGAACGCATTTCTTCCTCATCGGTAAGTCTGTCCGGGATTGAAGATCTTGTCTGTAGGTGAAAGAGGAGGAGGATTCTGGTGACAATGAAAAAGATGTGGCGCATTCAACGGAGGAGACCTTATCTAAGACCCCGAACTCGGATACCCCGGCAGATTAATCAACTAATCTATTTTGCCTACGGTTTTTACTACGCATATCCAACATGTCTTGGTTCACAGCACAAGACTCAGCAACAGTTTTTGCGCCATCCACGTTACATGGCACTCGCTGTAACTAAGTTTTACCTTGTCATGTGATACACTCAATGTTACCTGTTGTATTTAATTTTCTGATACTTTTGATAGTACGTATTGGTTACGATGCCCTGGTTTTTCTACCCGAGGTCTTTTTGCGTAAAAATTAATTTTTGTACATTGAGTTTTTGTGCTTTTGTAACTCTGAGAAGACACTGAAACCTGGTTGATAGAATCAATCCAGAGTGGACTTTTACCGGATCCGCCTATAAGTACTACTACGCGATGAGGGCTAGCTTCCATCACGCCTGGTGTGTCCGGCGCACCGTTGCATGTATCTGCCTGGTCGGTGTCATTGTGGGCAAGAAGACTTGTGGCGCGTGGCGTTATAATTGAAGTTATCGCTGACTTCCACTTTTTGGGAAGAGTGGCCTCTGCGGTGTCGGAAGCTCTATCACAGCGCTCCGGCTTCTCCCGAACCTATTTCGCAAACCATTTTGTAGTAGTTGGCCATTGCGTCCTATCTTGGGGAGTTAACCACCACCGAAGCGGTTCCTGTCGAAGCTTCCGCCGGCCTCGCGTTGCCATACTAAACATTTGTTCTGCTGTTCCAAATTCTGCTCGCAAGCCGGCCGTGAGTGTGCGGGATGTCTCACGGGTGACGGGATATAAAGTACGGAAGTTTGGCTTTTGTTTTGCTAGCCACTGCAACGGTTCCAATGGGACAAAAGTTCTACCACAACCCGCGGCAGCAATCCACACCTACTCCGTGCTCAGACATGTGTATGCGTACCCTGTCTGATGCATTCGTCCGGTCATTGGGTGCTAGTAGCTTGCCCGTGGTCCGCGGTCACCGGTGAGTGACCGCACTTGGCGGCGTTGGCCGTAGAGGCCTCCTCTCAAGGTAGACAATGGCGAGGTTTAGTTCACCCCTATCTGCCAAAACTTTGTTTTATTGGGGAAGTCGAGGCCGAGCTTGCCTGGACCGCCAGCCGGCAAGTCGCTCATCGCTGACCAGAGCCAAGTTATTCCCGGGGCTGAATGTCTAGCACTACCATCTATTTAGACTAGATGCCGTGCCTAAGGGTTCCGGGCCGCATGGTGCCCTTAAACCTCACAGACTGCTAAGGGAATAAATCACATTTAAGTGTGTGCAAATCTGAGGTGTTGTGCAACGGTTTTCGGAAGTGGGCTTTTCACTCCGTCATCGCCGCCTGTTCTTCCCAGCCGGAGCTGTTTGCCAGGATGCTCTTAACGGCGTCCCTGGAAGTTTCTACAATTTATTTTTTTGGTGCCTGAGTGTGTACTTGGAGAGAGTTCTGTTACTCGCTGACTAGCAGTAATATCTTGACCGAAACCGTCTTCGATTGTAGTTGAGATGGTCTCAGTATCCACGAATGTCCCGCGCCGTGTACGCCTACTTTACAGCGACCGTATCGGTAAGTTACGTACACAGGTATTTTGAAGTGAAGGACGCCCAGTGGCATGCCCGGGTCTTAGCTTCTGGGCCGGAGTACTGCTGGCCGATGACAGTAAACACCGAAAATGGCCTCCTCGTCGTCGAGTACCAGTAGCCATGCCACTGCTTGCGTGGGAGGTAGATCTCGAGCGTCAAGACAAAACGTTTTACATCTCCGCATAGCGGTCAGGATAGACTGGCAAACGCCACTTGTGGAATGCCCTCCCTTGCCTTTCATGGCTAACGATAGCCACCATATCGTAAATCAGGTGGGACTAGGCGCGAGTCATGCGTTTTCTCCCACGTTGGCACTCACGGACTCTGCGAGGCTACCAATGTAGGATGGACGTCCTGTGGTGCTGTTTCTACCGGACCTCGGGAGTGGTGTCCCCGACGTCTTTCTCAAGCTATCCAGTCCGACAGATTTTCAAAGCCATAGTAAAACGTTAGAAGGACCGACGTCGTCAACGTGCACCTGCGAGCTGGGCGCGCAAAACCGGCCTAACATGGCCAGGATGGTGGCGATGGACATTTAAGAACAGTCTGCACCACTGTCGATACAGGTGCCTGAAAAGACTCATCCGCGCTTCGAAACTAGCACGTGATAAAAATCGTGGTCTGGAAAGTTGGCGACTAACGAAGTAAATCGGCCAATTTGAGGACTGAGGGTCAAGCTGCAATGGTTCTTGATTAACGTGATTTTTGTGACCCTGTCACTTATGTGATGTCCGAGCTGTCCCCGTGAAAGCGCGGTACATGCTATTGTGACCGGACAGCGTGTAGTATGTGCGAACGGGCTATTTGGTTTTGTCCCTAATTTCCCCGGCGTCTATTTACGATCCTCTTGACTTTGGCCTACCATCGGAACATGGTGGGTGTGGAGGGGGAGGCAAGAGTGTGGTAGATGGATCGAATGCCAGCCTCACCATGAACGAATTCAGGCGCAAGTGCCTACTGTTGTGTCCACTTCGTGAAGCAGTAGTGAGCGTCGTCGTTCACGACGGTTGAACTGTTGTGTCATAAATGACCTTCCGTAGAGTGCGCTTTTGAGATTCTGGTGAATGAGAATTTCCTAGCCAGTTCTTGCCGTCATCATGCCTTGCTGTTTTTTCGTATATGTCGTGTCCCGGCTCACCCTCGGTCAACTGCTGAAACACTTATTCGGGAAACTTATCTGTGATTCATCTTAGTAGACAATTTCCTCGAGATGGACGTCAGCTTCTTTGGTACACCGACTGTATACACTCCCCATCAGACCATCCGATATAAGTTGGAGTGAACATAGTCCGGCGTGTAGTCGAATTTCGCGCTGTGAAAGTGGCAACAAGCGACGAAAAATCAATCTTCTAGAAAGCTACCTTATCGGACTAGCACAGCTGTGCTACTCAAAGGGAGTGGAGTCTTTTGACACACAACACAATCCTTGTTCGAGGATAACCTCTTCGTCGAGCGGATCACTCCCTCCAGAATTGATTCTAACGAAATCATTACTCCAACGCAATAAGTCAGACACCCCAAAAGTGCTGCAAAGATATCCAGACTTTCTCCAAACAGTCCTGGAGCAATCTGAGTAAGCTTATTGGTGACATGGGGAGGATAACGAACGTAGAAAAATATCTGAAAACAGGGTCAAATGACAGACAGAGATTTATAAAGTTAGGGTTACTCACGCAGTTGGCTTGGTGGAACCGTATCGGAGCTTGTAGATTTTACAAAAAGTATGTTTTTAAACCAGAACAAAGACGGCCGGGGAACAGTCTGGTTGGCTGTTACACAGGCAATAAGATTTTTAGTCGGTACTGCACAAATAAGCATCCTGAGGTCACCGGTCGACCCATGGTCGGCACAGAAGAGCTCACATTTTGATTCCGGTGCGTGTCAACATTGGTCGCGGTGTACACATGGTATCAGTTCGTGCACAAATTCTCGTCGGGGAGGAGACGCTGGCTCAAATAAAACACGTGGACTGGCGAGGTACCAGAAAGCCGTCTCTGCTTCCTAGCCAGGTGTCAGGCTAACAAAACCCGGGATAAACCAGAAATGCTGCGATACAGTGAGTCCAAATATTACCTGGCCGAGTTTTATGAGAAAAGTGCCTTTCCTCTGCTCGGTGACTGTTACTCTGTTGCTGGTCATCATCTTGAGGAAACGTCGACGAGTAGATGGAACTGTCTTTTATCTAGTAATGCTTCCGCAGACAGCAAAGATATGGGCTTTGCTCCCACAAACTTCAGACCCTATCAGCGTTAAACTGAATATAATTACCACTATTTTCAACTGCTGTCCCATGCTGTTCTCTGGGACTCACTAAAGCACACTTGGCTTGGTCATTTACACAGTCTTTCCACATTTTGAAATATGTGAACATTGTCTTCAAGAGGGAAACACTGGAATTTGTGACCCTTTCTGCACACACTAGTTAACAAAGTTGCGCTGCGAGTATAAGCACTGAGTGTATTTTAAATGCGTTGCAGTTTACTTGCCTTACGTCCTGCTTCGTTTCGGCGTTTTTCTACTTACCGATTGAACGCTGTGATGCCATTGCCCTCGTCACAGTTCCGCTAAATGGTTCTTGGACCCAGCATTTTAAACATAATCTTCACCATCCCGAGTACGTCCACTTTAGGTCAACATAGTCCTTTCGAGGAACGAAGTTATCCAGGACAACGGGCTAACTTTTCTGCTCTTTGGGACATCCGTTGTTGCCGACTCAAGTGATTCTGAAAGTTTCAGCCAGTAAAGTCAGTTGTCCATCCATCGGTGCGTTAAGATGCGCTGCAATGAAGCGGAAGACTGCAATAACCTCAAAGGATGTACAGAACAAATGGCTGTCCGCGCAACTTCGTGGCTGCTTGTGCAGAATGATGGGATTGGAGACAGAATCGCACGTGATCTAAACTTTGGCGACAGTTCCTGCACGTTAAAAACGTCTCGGAAGCAACCAGCCGTCTTCTTACTCCGACTGGTATTACACACAAGCCGGAGATGACTGTCAGACGTCAGATGAGATGACGGGGTTGTTTATCGGGTTTGGTATAATCAGGGACTAAGTAATTACGTTGGAGAAACTGGAGGATTATTTAGGCTGCCAACGTGCAGGCGTGCCTCAACGATGCAGAGTCAACACAAATAATTGGGCAGTGACACGTTCGACACGGTCCAGTCCCACCGTCAGGTTTAATGGCGCCGAAAGCCTCGCAAGAGATGACAGTTGCGCGAGTTGCGAGTTGTTTGACACCCTTCATCCTTCACGAGGTAAATGTGCTGGACCAACACGGGGGCCGAATGGGAGTCCGGCGGACGTTATCGGGAATGCGCCCCCATAACAAATGACAACATTGGGGTGTGGTGGTGCCGGTTCACTCTGCGCAAAGCGGGATCCGTGCCGCCCCTATTTGTGTTGTGGTATGAATTTCTGGTCACGTATTTGTTGTGGGCCAGGGGGTGGGTGGCACACCTAGGTGC